TGCCAGCAGCTTTGTTTGAGATGGTGAAGGGGGAGGTAAGATTTCTCCCAAAAGAACAGCTAGCTGCCAACCCTTCATGCAAAACCAAGATACCAGGACCAGGCAATTGCACCCATGACTGCAGCATTTTCATTTGATTAGCAAGGCCTGTTTAGTGAGGCACATATTTTTCTCTAGTACCCAGAGTCCAATAATGTGCTGGGCTTCTTTTTTAGTGGTGGGGGAGCTGAAGAGACTGCAGTTTTTCCTTGAATGACAGGTATCCAGTGTGTTCAGGGTTTTGGCGCCCCCTGATGGCAGGGGTGTGGTAACCCCACACTCGGGCCTTCTCTACTTGTAGCTTGGCCCAAATTGGGAGAAACTCCTATGACGCTGAGTTGTCTGACATAACACATCCACACCTGGTGCCTGGAACACCTGCAATGCTTTTCTCCCCTTTGCCACCCTGCCCCCAAGCACCCCACTGCGCCCTTTTTGTCCCCTGCCGGGCCACCACGGCCCCTCCCAGTGCCCTTGTGACTCTGGACCACCCTTTGATCAATTGTTGCTCCCGTGATGGGACTGGGCAGGATTGGGACATGGGGCCCGACACAGCAGAGATATAATGCTTGAGTTCCTTCTCCCCAAAGTTCGCCGTGGTGTCAGTTTAGGGCTGCTGCCCTCTCATTCTCAAAAAATAGACTCCAGTGTTGTCAGTCTCCCTAAGGCTCTGTGTACTCATTGCTGAGCAGCCTCATAGTCATTAGTGTCATTGTCTTAACATACAACATTTTCCTCCTGCTTCCCATCTGGACCTCATGTTTGCTGCAACCTCTTACCACTCAGCCTGGAGACATTCATCAAAGAGCAGGGGTCTTGATTTCCCCCACCTGCCCTACCATTGGGTAAGAGTCCTCCTTACTGTACCTGGGCAGTTAACTGTCTCATGGATGCTGGCAGAAGACAGGACATGAATAAAGTTGGAGAACAGTATTCTAGAAGGAATGAATCTTATGTAATTCTAGCTAACATACTCTTGGGGTGGGTGCTTAAGGTATCAAAATGCAGTTACTGTATAGTTAACTATTATAAGAATGTTGTCTCCATCCTTGTTTGACATTTGTCAGCAAGATGGGCATGACTAATGGTTGGGCTCTTACTTGAAACCTCTACTTTTCTATAGTTTTGGAAAATACAATAAATCTGCTTGAAGAAATGGTATAGAGATGGATTTGAAATTTCTGAGTATCATTAATGTTTCATGATCATCTCAGTTTCTTCTCTGAAGGAAACTCACTTAAGGCCAGTTTTGGACCCTGTAAGCAAAATTAGACTGCTGCCCTCTCTGCTGCTTCCACCAACTTACCAGCTTGGTTTCTTTGTCATGAAGTCCAGGTATGGGGCCTTCTTGATCGTTTACACAATGTTAGTGTATCTCTTGGAAAATTGGGCAAAAAATATATATCTTATCCTGGACCTGATTTCCCAGAAATCATGTTCTGTGATGTTTGGTTCTTCTTAAGGAATCATGAATTTTAAGAGCACTATTTTTCCTGAAGAAAATTGACAGTGCTGCACTTTTTTCACATTTAAAAAAACCTGTGAAGTCAGCTTATTGACTCACCAAAACTGTCTACCTTTCTGAATTTAAAATCATAAGAAATGCTATTAGGATTATTGAGAGCAATGGAATTCTACAAACTACTGATACCTGGCTCTCATCCTAAAGACTGATTTCACTCGTCTGGGGTACCTTTGGGCAGCCTGAGTTTTTGACATGCCTCGTATGTTTCTACTGAGCAGCCAAGGTTGAGAACCACTGAAGCAGATTTGGAACCTGGTGCTAAAAAAGTTATAGTTCTGCTGTTAACAAGTGACTACTTAACAGGCCTTTAAAGCCTTTTATATTAAGTGCCATACAACTTTAGATGCCTTTCAGATAAAAAACACAAGTGTACAGTTTATTAAATGTTAGGAGTTGTGGGAAGTGGATGCAGGGAAGGGAGTTGTCACACTAGCATAATGGCAGATCAGGAGCTTTTGTCATCAATGGATGCTGAAGTTTTGGGATGAAAAGTAGTGGGATATGGCCCAACATATCACCCTCTACATTGATGTCTTTTAGTCACTAATTAACCAAGTGATTAAACTTAGCACCACCAGCCCACTTACAGACTTCTTAGTCTCTAAAATAGAGGAGATCATAGTTCTCACCTTCCCACTTCCTCCCTGGAGACTGAGCTTCAGTGCTGTGGCCCCTAACGCATAAAAAACACTGGATGAATGTTGAGCTTTTTTGATGGCTATTTTATTTTTCTGTGTGTCATAATAGTTGAGAAGAATCAGATTTAAATTAATGTCTGCCAATAGATGTTAACTTCAACTGAGACAGGACTGAGTTTAAAGATAGGAAGGAACAATTTATTTGAAGCTTTAAAAGTCCTAAGTAAAGTAGTATACCATAGGAAAAAAATTTTAAAACAGTCTGAAACTTGAGTAGTTAATAAAAATAATTTTGTAATAAAGCACAGGAAAACAATGTATTTGGTCATATTGTGATTCCTAATGTAAATCCTAGCACCGCTATTAATTGGTAATTTTAAATGTAATTTACATTTGTATATGATGTAAACAGTTGGAAAATATTTGATTAAATCGTTTCACTATTAACACAAGAGTTCATTTAAATGATTTCATGAGAACAGAGCATGGTTACCTTGGTTTGTCGACCAAACATCTTTAAGGCAGCGTTTCTCCAAGTCTCTCTGGGGAACGTTCACCCTGTGAGGTGCTGTCTGCAAAATGGGTACACTTTGGCAAGTACTGCATACAGTAGTCCTTTTCAAAGAAACATGATTTACAGTAGCATATTGAAAGCTTTGAAGTCTTACAGGAGAGAAACCTGTTAACTTATGTCTAACCTAGCATTCCCCAAACTTACCTGACCACAGAAGCCTTTTGTCCCCCCTTTTACAGCAATTCCTAGAAGCACTTTAGGGATTGCTGCTTAAAAGAAGAGTTGGTCTCAAATAATAATGGTATTTGAATATCACAGACTATCTTATGTTAGTCCATTCATGGCAATGTAGGCTTTTTCTAGCATGCTGAAAGAGGCAAGGAAGGATCCTCACAGTTATAGACTGAATGTTTGTGTTTCCAAAAATTCATGTTGAAATCATAACACCCAAGGTGATGGTATTTGGAGGTGGGGCTTTTGGGAGATGATTAGTTCATGGAGGTGGAACCCTCGTGACTCATTAGTGCCTCTATTAAACACACCCGGGAAAGCTTGCCCACCCCTCCCAACAGGTGAGGACACAGCAAGACAGGCATCTGTGAACCAGGAAGCAGGCCCTCACCAGACATCAAATCTGCTGGTGCCTTGATCTTGGACTTCCAGCCTCCATAACTGTGAGAAATAACATGTCTGCTGTTTATAAGCCTGAATGGACTTAACAGCAGCCTGAATGGACTAAGACAAGGACATATCAGAATTTGTTTCTGCTCCTGCTTAGAAAGTCATCTTTTTCTTTTTGGGGCAGAGTGGAGTGATAGTGGTTCTAGCACCTCTTTGAGGAAAGCAAATGGCCTGTTTGATACTGTCACTCCGCCACCACTACATGAAGTCACTGACAACTGTCAACAGGCTTCTTGTATTAACATCATGAAGATCCACTGTAACGTTTTGATTATAAGGATATAAAGTTTTTTTTTTTTTCTGGTTTTCTCATGATAAATCAGGGGTCGTTAAACATTACAAGAATCATTTCTAGGCCTTTCCTACCACTCTTTGAACAAATATTAAGTGTCTTCTTGCTAGGCACTGTGGTGGGGAGGTAAAAGTGGAAAGATGCTCTCACTGGCATCTGGAAGGACACTTTGCTCTGAATCACTGGAAATGCAACAGGTATGGAGTTGGGTTAGAGAAACCTTTGAATTTAGCATGTATGAAAGGCATCATGATTGTGGCACTGGAGGGGTATCTTTTCACTTAACACATGACTAGTTTTATGAATGGTACCAGTACTCTAAACTCAAATGCTAAAGACAATTCATTAACATCTATATCTATAATCTTAAGAAATGCATTTAGGGGGCTCCTGAGTGGCTTATTCAGTTGAGTGTCCAACTCTTGGTTTCGAGTCCTACAGTGGGCTCCGTGCTCAGCACGGAGTCTGCTTCAGATTCTCTCTCCCTTTCCCTCTCCCCCGCCACTCTCCCCACTCACTCATGCTCTAATAAATAAATAAAATCTTTTCTAAAAAACCAAATACATTTAGTACTCATGTGTTTTTTTCCTAACACCACCAAGCAATTCTCCCAATTCTCAGTGGCCACTGACTAGGTGTCCTACAAACTTAATTCAGTTATGACCCTATCTACTTGGAATTAGTGTCAGATCCCACAGGTTAAGGGCTCAGACAACAAGACTGCCCCTAATTCAAACACCTATTGCTAAGCCCTGATTGTTACCTGTCCTTCTGACTTACTGGCTATAAATCTGAAGTTCCCAATGACATCCTCCTTGGGTTTGATTAATTTGCTAGAGTAACTACAGAACTCAGAAAAACATTTACTTAAACATTTACCAGCTTATTATAAAGGATACAGATGAACAGCTAGGTGAAGAGGTACAAAGGGCAAGGTCCCACAGACAGGGTCTGTCCAAACCCAGTCCTTTTGGGTTTTTATAGAGGCTTCATTACAGTCACGATTGATTAAATCATTGGCCATTGGTGTTTGATTTAACCTCCAGCCCCTCTCCCCTCCCTAGAGGTGGGGGGGAAGTGAGGGATTGAAAGTTCCAACCCTCTAATCACACGGTTCCCCTGGCAACCAGTCCCCATCCACAGGTTACTTAGGAGCTTTCCAAAAGTTACCTCATTAAAGTTACAAGACACGTTTATCACTCTTATCACTTAAGAAATTTCAAGAGTTTTAGGAGCTCTGTACCAGGAAAGGAGATAAAGACCAAATATATATGTCTTATAAGTCGCAATATCACAAGTACCAAACAAAAATTTTTCACTTAACAGGTTTATTTTAGCAGCTCAGTTTTATTACATTCTACATATTTAATATATTTATATGTCTATCTGTTCTGCATAGATGGCATATTAACTTCTATAGTTGACTTTATTTGATATTTGCTGCTACCTGGCCTGAAGAGAGTCAGGAAGACAAAACTTGCTTGGTGGATACATGGTGCAGCATTTAACTTTTCAGCAGAACTTTACTTTGATGTAGGCTTCAGTGTCAGCTTTTCTTCCTCTTCTTTTTCAAATCCCGAACAGACGAGAGATCTTCCCTTAGGATATCGAGCACAACACTTACGCAGTTCTTGGATGACAGCCTGACACTTAGATTCCATGTAGTTGTTGGCTGAAAAACAGACAGGCAGACCCTAGTCATGATCTCAGAGAACTAAGGCACAGGGAAGTTTAGATCAGTGCTTCCCACTCTACAGACCTGGAAGAAAGAGGATGTACCCAAGTCCACCTAATTCTTTCTGATGTACAGACCAGTCAACAGGATAATTAGAAAAAAAAAGCATGATTTACAAAGTGGTTGAAAGCTATTTTTATATATGAATTTCCTTTTCTTTAAGGTTGAGTTAATAGCTTACGTGCCCTTTTCTAAGACAGTGGTGGCTGTAAGTGCAACAGAGGTTGGCAAACTGCAGCCTCTGGATAGAGTTCAACTCTTTTTTACAGCTGTGAGCTAAGAATGGTTCTTACATTTTTCAAGGGTTGCAAACACACACCCACATACCCACCCACACACTATACAACAAAGACCTTCTGGCCTCCAAAGCTAAAATAGTTCCTATTTGGCCTTCTACAGAAAATATTTTGTAGACCCCCTACTATACATAGAACTTAAGTCAAGGAGAACTTGACCTAAAGGTTCTAGGTCAGCTGCAGTTGATCTGAGTCCCCCGGTGCTAAAATGGGGTGCATGGGAGTTAGTCCAGGATTAAAAAAAAAAAAAACCCAATTCTGACTAGAAAGAATACAGCGGAGTGGCTGAGTCCAAGCTTGGAGCCAGACCAAAAGGGTTCAAATCCTCACTGTACCCCTTATTAGTTGTGTGACCCTAGACAAGTTATCTAACTTCTGTGTCAATTTCTCCATCTATAAAATGGGGGTCATAGTAGCATCCACCTAATGGGTGAAAGGATTAAATGACTCAATATGTTTAAAACCCTTATGGCTGTGCTTAATTCTCTTAGTCCTTCCAGCCCTCAGTCCTCCCACACTGTAGCCATGTGTTGCTAATTCAAATAAGGTAAGAATTTATTTGGGAAAAGAAACTGTGAAAAACATTTTCCTTTTTCTTAAATTTGGAGGAAGGAAAGAAAAGGATGAATAAAGTAGCATTACTATCATTATACATTAACATTTTAGATTAAGATTTTTATGAAATGTTGCTTACATCATAAAAAGTCTAAGAATGAAAGTTAAAAGTCAAAGGAAATACACAAACAAGAGTTTTCTTTAGTAGTGAATCTTTGGGTAAATTCTTAACATTTTTCCTTCAGACCCTTCTATATTTTCATGGGCATCCATCTCTATCTGTTACTTTAATAATGGGAAAAGTTATCAAAAACGTCACTTTTGAAGTTCAGAAAGCCTTGTAGCTTTTTCTATCTGTTCTGCCAATAATCATGTGCTGATTTTAAATAAATATAAAATCCTCTAGCATTTGGTCAAACTTATTGGCCAATTTAAAACCAAATTGGGGGAAAAAATCAAGTGGACAGATCACATCAAATATGCTTTAGTTGAAGTTTGCTTTTGCCTTTAAGACTTAGTTGCTGACTTTGGCAACCTGAATTCCAATTGTATTTTCAACCCCCATTTCTAACCTGATTGCTTTTAAGAAGTGGGTTGTCAGCCACAGTGAAGTATAACCAACCCATTTAAAACTAGTCTTTTTAAAAAAGGACTTTGCTCAGCTTAGTTATTCTCAACTCTGGCTGTACATTAAAATAACCTGGTTAGCTTTTTAGACTGATTCCTGCCCAGAACCCATCCTCAGGAAGTCTGATTTAATTGTTCTAGGCAAGAGCTTTTTTTAAAGCTCTTCAGGTGATTCTAATGTACAACCAGAATTGCAAACACGAAGCTTGGATCATATCACTTTTTATTTTCTCCATCTTTGATGAAATGAGAAAAATCTTCAGGATAATTACAGAAATATTACATTTGAGAGGAGCTCATATCATTTGTGATAAAAAGAAAAATTGGTCTCTTGTAGTTAGTTCACAGATAAAGTGAAAAAATATAAAAAAGCATTTAACATACTACCTTGTAAACATTTCTGTATTTCACAGGCTTGTTTCTGGCACGGATCCTTCTGCGGCATATCCAGAAAACTAAAATAAGAAAAATGATTTTTATTTTGTCTTTTATCCATAAAGACTTTAAAGCCCCTCTAGATGGAATTTTCTTCTGAGACAACCAGGTATGCTAGAAAACAATTGCACTAAAAAATACTCTTCCCATTCATAGGATGAATCAACTGTATTTTTATAATATCCATTTCATTCAATTTGGAAGACATAAATAGCTTTACATGAAAATAAAACCGTGAATTCAATCACCTCATCTTGAATATTGTAAACCAATTGTGGGCTAGAGGAGCCGATGCCACAGCCAAATAGGCCTGTCCACTGCTCAGATCTATCATTCACAGAACCACCCTTGGTAAATGATTAAACTCCTTGAGCCTTTTTCCTTATAATTCATGAGTAAAATGGGGACCATTCTTACCTACCTCAAAGCATTAATGGAAGGATTAAGTGTGATAAAGTATATAAAGTGCACAGAATAGTGCCTGGAAGGAAGGCAGTAAGGATTCAATACATGGTAGCTATGATTCCCAAGATTTTTTAGAAAGTAAAACCTTACTTTTAATGTACATAAACACTTATGACTACTTTAACTCAGAAAATTCTTTATCAGGTAGTAAATGATTTCCTAGGAATCAGCAATATTTGGTGCTATTATCACTTCCTGAGAAAGGTGCTAGTTAAGCGGCTAAAATAATTTTTGGAGCTCTTACAGAAACCAACTTATTTAAAATATCTGTAACCAGAGAATGAATTGAAGTGCCCACGATTTTGATTAGCAACCTCTAATAATTTGAAGGCACAATTTCAGAAAGGAAAAAGGCCCAGGAGCCTTTGTAGCTAATGTCATTAATTCAAATAACCTCTTTTTTCAGAGCCCCCTAAGTTCTCAGTAGATCCAAGTTAGGTCAGTACTGGGAGGGGAAACACTGGAGCAAAACCTAGGATATTTACAGGATGGGGGAAGGAAAGGCAGGTGAATTGCTGCAGGGCAAATAAGCGACAAATAGATGTTGATGCTGCTAGGAGCTGCTCTCTTCTCTCTAAATCAGTACCAAGTCCTTGGTGATCAGGGCATCTGTTCTGTAGCAGGTGCTGACTTTTGTGGGATTCATCAGATCCCAGTTCCAGCTGATGATGTCCATTAAAGGTTCTATGGCAATTTCCAAAGGAGTCAATTTCAAGTTACGTATCCTGACTAAGTGCTTTTGTTGACTTGCTTTCTGCCTACGTAACCCCCTCTCTGCAGTTCCATTTGTGGTGTTCTTCATGACCCTTCCTAAGCTTCTGTGTTCTTGAGCAGTTTTTCAACCCACTCCCTCCCCACAGGCCCACAGGTGGGTGCACTGCAGTGGTGGATGAAGTGATTGCCATATACTGAACAGAACAGAGGAGCATATCTTCCTAGAATCCCAGCACCTGGAAAAAAAATAGATCATTAAAATCACCACAACTGAATAGAGTGAAAAAGAAGAAGGGAGAACAGGGGAGAAATAGAAATACATACCAGGTTAATCATCAGGCAAAAGCTTAAGCAACAGCTCCTGTACTCCCCTGACCTGTCAGAAAAAGAAAAGTTTATAGAGTACTCTGTTGTAAGAGCCCCAATACAATGGAAAATGATTAAGCAACATGGGTACCATTAAATGATGCTGAATCTGCCACAAGCGAGAGTTGTTATCCATGTAGCGTTCCTCAGGGTAGAGTTGCCACATGAGAGGTAGCTGGGAGGTAAGAAGGTGACTTGGCCTAGCTGGGTCACCTAAGGGAACCTGAACTTGCTGGACTCGTGCCCTTAGGAAACTCGTCTCCTAATGGGAAAAAAATGACAAAAATAAAAGAAAAGATTTCAGGATTTTGAGACTGGTTAGACACCAAGTTGCTTGAAAGCAAAGTCAATTAAAAAAATAAGCAAAATGTAAACAGTTACCTCTTCCACGACGGCCACCCACGTGCGCTGGTATTCGTCGCGGTAGATACCCTCTTGGTGAACCCAGAGGTGATCGGGTGGAGCCCCCACATCCTCTCCTGCCATTCTGGGCTTTGGGTTCCAATTCTAGCCCTGCTTTTCTCCACCTAAGCCTGCAGCACCCGCGCACAGGACACAGGTGTGACTTTTTGGGTTTGAATGAACTCACCAGTGAGCAAGGTGACCTGGTACTAGCAACCACCAACCAGAACAAAACTCTTATATGTCTACTTGCACAGCCTAAATAGAGCCGAGGCTATCTGAAGCTCCCTGCAAGACACTGAAGTGACATTCAGCAGAGCCTCAGGTCATGCTAACTGTTGACTGTGAAGCACTCAGCTCCTCAGCTCAGTGGGGAGTTCTGTGGAAATGTAGGACTAGCACCTCAGGAAGCTGGGCAGTGGTGTCACAGTCTTTGCACTCACAAAGCAGCATCTGACAAAATGTAGGTAGCAACAGAGTATGCACAGGCACTTATTTGGGCAACAATGGACACGTGTGCCATATTCCCCAGGTAAAAGCCCCTTTCAAGCAATTCCATTTTAAAGGATTGTGAAGGCTGAATTATGTGCATCGCTTTGTAAATTAAAAGTTTGTTTTAAGGACAAGCAACCTATTTATCAGCTTACTTAGAAAGGTTACTTATAGTAGTTGGGCACTTCCAGAAGGGGGTTTTCATGTTAAGGAAAATATTTAAGGTAGCTTCATGGAATTTTGAAGCTGCAAAAGACTTTGGGGATCATGGTGATTTGGAGCTGAGAGCAAATGATCGTTATCCATCTAGGTCCTTGTTTCATTTTGATAATGCTTCAGGATGTCACAGGAACCCATTTTTCCACAGAGGTGTGCATTTAAATTCTGATTTCCCAAGTCAGAAGGCCAGAAAAACCCCTCTGCCGTTTGAGAGGTGTAAAGGAAGCAAACCTCCTGGGCAAACTCTTTCCATAATGCAGATTTGGCTCTAACCCCATAAGGATTTTCTGCCTAGCTCTGGATCTCATTTCAGGGCCTCACAATTACTTGACCTGCATTTTGGAGGAATGAATTGTTTGTACCTGGTTCCTAGCATCATGGCATCGTTTCCCTGTATTTCTACCTTTGACAGAGCAGATAACAGCATTGGGGCATCTGCCCCACAAAACAAAGGCCTCCTATTCTCATTGGGTGGCCTTAAGGTAGGACAGCAACTGCAGCACATCTCAGGAGGTTGTTAAACCATTATTGAGATTGTCAAGAGCAAATGAGATGCCAGAACACAGTATGATACAGCCCAGGAAAAAGCCAGAAAGAATTAATTGGGCTAAACCAAGCCCTCTTTTCAAGGACAACAATTTGATTTTTTTTTTTCTTAACACTGTTAGTTCACCTTCCAAGTAGATCTCTTAAGATCTTAAGAAATGGTCTGATTTCAGTGGATAATTTAAGAGCATCATAGTTGCTTCACCCATTGTACCCTGATTGGAGTTGACTCTGAGCCTATTGTAAGCTCCCATCTTATAGGGCTCCCTCATTTCAAACTCACCTAAAGAACCCCTTCTCCTTCACCAAATTCCAATTTCTCTCAGTGGCAACACCACCTCTCCTGATCTTGCAGACTCAAAACTTCTGAGTTATCTTGGACTTCTTCCTCTTCTTCAGTTGCTACATCCTATCTGTCACCAATTCCAGCAAGCACCACTACCACCATATTTGAGACAAACTTTCCCCTAAATACTAGGCCCATTTCTAGCTCCAAATCCTTGCTCTAGCTTTCTACTTGTCTAAAATGCCTCCACAAGCCATTCTGTTTATCTCAGTACCTTCTCTATGAAAACTTCTTGCCTCTTAGGACTACTGCAGCATTTATGTCTCAGCTCAAGCTCATATTTTGGCCTCTAATTATAAATTGCCTTTGCATATTTGCTTTGCTTATTTCACAAGCCTTGTCTCCCCTCAAATACAGTATTATAAGCTCTTCGATAACAGTAGTACTGGGCACCCTAAGTCTCAATATTAGTCAGTGTTCCTGTGAGTGAGTGGATATGTATGCTGAGAGGGGAAACAGATAAAGACCACACATACATGGACAGAGATTGATTCTCTAGGTATATTATATACCTATATATTTTTTCAAAGCCATTTTTTTTTCCATTTAGCAGATACAATTGTTCTGCCTCTCCTTTTCCCCAGGGCTTTGGAAAGGAGAGATACAAACAAAAACCAAGTAAATACTAATGTGAAAAAAATATTTATTAAAGTCTGGATTTTGAGTACAAAAGAAATAAGTATGGCCATTAAAAAAAAAAAGAAACCAAGTGTTAAGAGTTTCAGTACCATCTCACCTTCACAGACAGGTCCATTCACAGATAGACAACAACTAATATATTGACATTTAAATTTGTTTTGAATGAAAAGCAAAATTTTACTGGTTACACTGACATTAAAAGGAAATGATTCCAGTGGTATAGAGGGCAAACAAATTGGAGATGATAGTCTGAGTTACTATGAATTACTACAAAGAGGCCTATGAGTCACTACAAAATATTCTAAGAAAGGCAGTGTGATGTGCTGCTGTGACCTGAAGGCCAACATGCTGGGCATCAGTAGGATGAGCCTGGGAACAAACTCCAGCACATGACCCTGGACTTGTGTGTGCTACCACTCACCGAGATGCTGCCATATGAGCACGAACCAACAACATCCTTACCAGAGAAAAGCAAAGGCTGAATGACTAAGATTAAGATGAAGGACCATAAAATCATAGATTGTATAAATTGCAAACCATTTCCCTAAAATGTGATTCTTGGAACACTTGCCCCTAATTTTTTCCCTGGTCAAATAAGTTTGGGAATCTTTTAGTCATAAAGCTTATTAGTGTAGTAAAAGCTCTGGCAAGTTACACGGTAAAGAAACTTTAACAATTCCCAAATTTATTTGAGTAGAGAACATTTTTCTGCACATGAAACTTGTTCATAAAATTCAGAACCCCTTGAACTAAGATGAATCTCTTAAATCCTCAAGATAAACTCAGGCACAACGTGCAGTATAATACACAACATAAACCTCTTCCACTCAACGCAAAGGAAAACTACCATCTGCAAATTCAAATGGATTCAAAAAGTGTTTATATGGCTTTATCATCCAGTAAGGCACTAAAGCCGACTGTCCCCATGGGGGTCACCTTGATGTCATGGCCAGAGACCATACTGGCCTAGACAATTTCCTAGTAAGGCATTTCATAAATTATGTTTTAAATGGACGATATACAACATAGAAAGGGTTCCTTAAGAAAAATATAATTTACTTCAATTTCCAGGTGTTTGAACAATTTTTAAACATTAATTAGTTGGATATACTTATTTTCTTTGAAGTGAATTAATACACTGATTTAATTACAATGGGTGAAGTTACTAAGAACGCATGCCCTGGAGTCAGCCTGGCCTGGGTATGAATCCTGATTTTGCCACTTAATAGCTTTGTGACTTGGGAGAAGTTAACCTCTCTACACTTGTTTTCTGAGGTGTAAAATGAGAAATAAACAACATACTGATCATAATGGTCAGCACTTATTTAGCACTTATTATATGTTATATGTATATTGACTCTTTTAATCTTCACTATCACCTGATTAGATGGATACTGTCATTACCCCCCCATTTAAAGATGAGGGAAGTAAGGAATAGAGAAGTTAGGTAACTTGCATGAAGTCACAACACAGGTAGGAAGTTGTAGAGTCTGATTCCAGTTGGGGCAGTTTACATAGAAAGGTAATATAAATGCTTGGTAGAGTGTCTAGCACAAAATAAGCTTGCCATAAATTTTAAGAGTCCTTCTCTGTACTCCAATTAAACATTTAGAACTGTAAAAATGCAGTCATGAGCATTATAGAAGTTAGAGAATGTTGTTCTGATATTTGAGATTGACTAACAGCAACAACAAAGAAAAGGTGTTTTTTCTCTTGAAGGTGTCTAAAGGCACTTTAAAAACTCAAAATATTCTATTACTAAACATAATAATGAGAACAGCCATCGTTGTCCCATTAAGGCAGGGCATACAAGCCACGAACAGTAACTGGACATAATATATGGTGTAAAATTGAAACTTAAGAGAAAATTTAGATGGGTCCAATGTAATTGCACACTTCAAGATTTGCCCAATCTTCATCATTATCAAGACGAATCATGGAAAGAGGTGCCATGTGATCCTTAAGCATTAGGTAAAAATGGAGGTTGCTGGTATATATGTCACAGATAATTTCAGTGGATACGGGCCGTATTTGTGGGGGGACTTGGATTGGAACTGAGTTGGGAGAAAAGAGCAAAGCATCAACACCTCTTCAAGTAGCATCTTGGGAATGTTCCCTTTCCAGTACTGCCATGCCTGCCTGGCTTCAACACTGCACAGGGAATAGAAAACCAGATCAAACAAACAAACACTGATGGGCTGTGGGAGGCGGCACGGCATGTATTTTTCTTTGATTTAGAATGGTTCCTAAAATCCACGTGTAATTCCTAACCTTGGGAGTTGAAAGATCTGTACTTTTACCCGTGGCACGTTTGACATTCCTGAAAAGAAAATTACTTTTACATAGAATTTCACCATGTCTGATATCATCAAGACAAGGAGAGCTGAGGAAACTTATATTGTGGATATCGACTGCGATACAGCTGAGACCTTCAATAAAAACTGAAGTCCCTCATTCCCGTTCCCTGTATCGAACACATAAGATACCTAAAAGCCTTTGTAGAACATAGCAGTAGCCAAGCTTAAGAGTGATACTTTTTCAGATACAGTATAGCACTGTTTCTGGAAGAGGTTACTCACATGAATATAATGTTTCTTGGGCTAATTAATCCGCCTCAGGAGCAGCGAGGCTAAAACTTCCAGGTCCCCCGCCCTGGGCCACTCAAGCCAGGATCGGGACGTGAGCCTGGGGCGAGCCGAGGGGCATCCCGGGCCGAGGTCACCCGAACCGAAGTTATGAGGCGAGGGCCGGCAACCGGAAGTGGTCCAGGGAGAGTTGTACAAAATTCAGGGGCCGTAACTTGGAAACAAAGCGAAATAAAATAAAACCTGAACTGTCTTAGGACCGAATTTCAAAAGAGCGTCCCCCCTGGCTCAGGAGGCCGGCGCGCGCGGCGAGGCCGCCTTAAAGGGCTGTCCCCGGAGCGTGTAGGCCGCGTACGGCTCTCTTCAGCGGGCGGGCAAAATGGGCGCGGGCGCTCGAGAGGCGCCGGCCCGGCCGCCGGGGCGCCGCTCACAGAGCACGTCGGCCC